TTTTAAAAAGTATGAGAAAACACTTATGCATAGTGTGAGGACAATTATATCCTTAAAAATGTTTGTTTACCTATATGCCCCTATCAATATGATATTAATTGCCTCTAAACTTTTTTTTGTGTAATTTAATGATTTAAATCTTATGAATAGTGCTTGGACAATTATACCTTCTAAAATGTTTATTTACTTATTTTCCCTTATTAATGTTAATTGTTTTTTTTTTTAAGAAAAAACTCTTAAAAATAGTGTGCGTACAAAGTATTTATTTACATATGTACTCCCTCCGTCCCAATATATAGTTCCTGTTTGTGTTTTTTCACAGTATTTAAGAAATGGGAGGAGAAAGTGGATGAAGTACATTAAAGGTGGAAAAAAGTTAGACGAAAATTAGACAAAAGTACAAGGCAATTGAATAATTTAAGGGGAAATAAGTGAAAAGTACAATCATAGACAAAAGTTAGAGAGAGAAAGTGGAAAAAAGTACAAAGCAAGTAGATAATTTAAGGTTAAATTAGGAAGTTCAATGAATAAAGTTAAAAAAATGAGGGTATAATGATCTTTATATACTATCCAAAAATAGAAACAGGAACAACATTTTGGGTCTCTAAAATAGGGAAGTAGGAAATATAATATGGGACAGAGGGAGTATATTGCCAACAACTAAAAGAGCTTCCAGAAAATGGCTAGCTATAGCGCGCAATGCGCACGTTAGTCACCCTAGTTGCATTATAATTTTAAACCTGTCTGTAGTCTACTGAAGATGTTTTTCTGTTATACACTTGCACACAAACTTTTGCCATAAAGACACCCCTTTTCAAGGCATGGAGGAGGGCTACTCAATGCAACTGTCACCTTTTTTTGCTTTTTTCATTGATGATAAGCTTCATATAATGAGGAAGTTGATAAAATATTCTCTATCATGCAGGTGTGAGCCCAAAAGCCATAGCCGTTCAGTCTCCTTATGTTGCTCAAGTGCAACTGCTGAGAGAGAAGCTCCATCAATTTGAGGAGACTACAGGGGTTGAAGTGGCAACAATTGATAGCTTTCAAGGCCGGGAAGCTGATGCTGTAATTATCTCTATGGTAAGTCTCATCTTGAACATTATCCTTTCTGCTGTCTACCTAAGAATTTATTGTAAAAATTAACAGAAAATTGATAGTTCTGCTTGGCCGAAGATATTGCACTATTTGTAAGTACATGGCAAGTGACACTGAGCTTTTCAGGTTCGATCAAACACAATGGGTGCTGTTGGCTTTCTTGGGGATAGTAGGCGCATGAATGTTGCCATAACAAGGGCACGCAAGCATGTTGCCATTGTTTGTGATAGCTCGACTATATGCCATAACACCTTCCTTGCAAGGCTTTTGCGGCATATTCGTTATTCTGGAAGGGTCAAGCATGCTGGGTCTGATTATTTAGGAGGTCCTGGACTCGGCTCCAATCCCATGTTGCCTTCATTAAGTTGATGCAGCCAGAAGCTTTCTTTATACAACTGATTCCTGAGCTATTGGTTGTTTTCTTCAAATTGTTGATACATACGCCTAGACCTCATTCTTGTATAGCATTCAAAATTTTATATTGTATAAAGCCTTTTGTAGCGCCGTGTAAGTGTATATGTGCATAGCAGTCTCAGTCTCAGTCTCACTCCCGCATACATAAAACAGACATTTGCAAAAGTATATTGCAGTAAACATCACTAAGTTCGTCACTACTTCAAACTTGACGAGAACATTATCTTTCAATATATTTGCATGTTCTCAAGTCCTCTTCACAATATATTGCAGTAGTTTGTAGCTTTTCACTAGATCTTTTAGACTTGGTAAATGGGTCATTTGGGTCGAGGACGGGAAGGGTCACTTTCGGGTCAGCTAACATTTGGGTTGGGCACGGGTTGGGCTGGGTCAATTTGGGTTTTGGGTATGACTCGGGTCGAGTTCAGGTCGGGTCTGTTCGGGTCATACCATTTTCGGGTCGAGTATGTTCGGGTCATATTCGGGTTGAGTCAAAATCGGGTTGGTTTATGTTCAGGTTGTTCCATTTGTGGATCAAGCTCAAATCGATAACTTTACATTTTATTATTATTATTATAATAAGCACCATCAATTCAGTTTATGAGCTTGGCTACGGTTAGTGTTTCGGGGTTTTTTGATGTCCTACGGGAGAGTTACAATCCCAAGACTGACTTCTAGACACCTGTATCTGCAAAACAACGGAGACTCCGGTTGGTGGGAGCTCCGCCTCCGACGATCAAGTTAGAACGTGTATGAGGAGTTTAAGTGCGGAAAGTAAAGAATCTCTCTTGGATTCCAAGAGAGGATCTGCGATGTAGAATTGCTCAGTTTGGGGTGTCAGGTGACTGACTTGTTCTTTGCTTTGAGAGTAAATGTGTTTGGGGATATTTCTGAATAGATGTTTCCTTGGGGGAAACATCTTATTTATAGTGTGGGAGAATGTGCCCAATACTAGGTTTTGTGAAACCTAGGACTGATCGGGCCTTTGCATAGGAGTTTGGGCCGTCAGAGGTTGTCTGCCACGTGTCGTGGCCTGATTGGTCCACTTTGGACCTCTTACAAGGTGACACGTGGCGGACTCTAATTGGTCCACGTGAATGACACGTGGCAGCACGTGATTGGTCCACGTGGCGGGGAAAAATCCCCTAATCAGTTAGAGACGAACGATTTGAGTCATTTTTGACACCAGATATTTTTAGTTCAGTTATAAGGTAAGTTCCGTTCAGGACATTTCGGGTATCGAGTTTGTTCGGGTCAAACACATCAAGTCAACTTTTGGTCGGGTCAATTTCAGGTTGGGTCACTTCGGGTATCGAGTTCGAGTTAGGTATAATCGGGTTGGGTTAATTCGGGAGTTGAGTCAACTCCATTTTCAGGTCGGGTCGGGTCGATTTCGGGTCATTCGGGTCGGGTCATCGGGTCTGGGTCAGGGTCAGGAATCCCAGGTCTAGATCATCATCATCAGTCGTGTCATTTTTATTTTCCCAATCTTTTCTTCATCTACCAAGTTTCACTTTTTTTTTTTTTAATTTTTTTTTTATTATTTTAAAGGTAAGGAGAAGGTCCATCATTGGTAAGATTCAACCCCTGATCTCACGTCTGGAAGTCGAAGAATTAGTCAATTACTCTAGCCTCCTTTCTCTTGGTTTTAAGTTGGTTTGTGAGTTTTATATGGTGTGTAAGGATCTTTAATGATCCAAGTGGTTTAGGTTTTGATAAGTCGTATATTGTACGTGTTTTTAGGGTCTTTTTAGGTAGTTTTCGAGTCTAGATTTGTTGTTCATAGCTCATTTTGGCTTAATTTGGTTTGGTTGTGATCATATGATGCATTTATGGGTAGATTCATTGTTTTTGATGTATTTTAGGATTTAACGAAGTTATTTGAAGGTTTTACGAAGTTGCGGATCTTGATCATAGCTTGCAATTCACTTAGAAGGCCAATGTTTGAAGTTGAAGTCATTTAAAGCTAATCTCCAGCCAGACATGTCCATGTCACTCAGAGACATGGGCGTGTCATTGTGTTTTGAAGAGGCAGAAATAAAGTTGAATTTGAAGTTTTATTGAGGCATGTCCATGTCTATTTGAGGCACGCCCATATCGAGTCGAGTGCTTCGAGCTAGAAGCTACGTGCTAAAGGAAGCATGGCCGTGTTAATACGAGCATGCTCATGCCTCGTCGAGTGAAGTTGGCCCAGCGAGACACGCCCATGTCAGAATTCGACATGCCCATGTCTTGCTGGAAGTTGAAGAAAGATTGATTCTGACTTTGGGCACGAGCATGTCCTGTGTGACACGCCCATGCCTGGTCGATTTTAGGTCGGTTTAGTCCGATTTCTTTCCTTAATTAATCCTATCTTTTAGCCTTATTATAAATACTCTTTAGCATTATAATTTGATGATCTATCATCTTAGAACCCTAGTTGTCTCTCTAGACTTTATTTTCATTGTAATTCAAGATTATGTATTCAAGATTCTTCATTTATCTCTAGTAATTCAAGATACGGTATTTTCTTATTCTCTTTAATTCCTTTGATTGTTAATTATGTTTTTCTTAATTCTTGTTATTATTTTCATTACTATGTGTGAGTAGTTTCTTTATTCCAAGATCTAGCGGAACCCAAATATGATTGATGTATAATTTAATTCTTTAAATTTCTAATGATAATTGCGATTGATATGCTTAATTGATTGTGCTCATGTCAATACTAGATTAGGGATAATTAGTATTGTTATTAATCCATTGTTTTAATCGCAACGGGAGTTGGGTTTTAACGGGTTTGAATAAATCAATTAAGGGTTTGAAGTTCATCACGGGAGTAGTTGAATGGATGATTAGGAAGGTAGAGTAATGCGCTCAAAGTCTTTCCACGGAAGTAGGCTTGATTGTGATTAAAGAATCCATTGATAACTAGGGAGAGACCATTGATATTATTTAGGGATTACTTTCCTCGTGAATCAATTGAATTATATATTAGAGGTAGAACGACTATTGCGTTAATTGTATTTGTGGTAATGCTTGATCTTGGATGTTTTTAGCATTCGATTTATTATATTATTTAGATTTAATCGCTTTAATTAGTCCTTTAGTTATTAATTCTCACTGTTGTTTTGGTTACTTGCTTAGTGATAATTTGAGTCTGTTTAATTAGTTAAACCATAGTTTCTTGGGATTCGATCCTTACTTGCCTATCTACATAGTAGTGGTCTTGTTAGGTTTTTTTGTTAGGTACGCGACACGCCTATCAATTTTTTGCGCTGTTGCTGGGGACTAACAGTTTCATTCTAGTTATTCGTGTTTCGTTTTTACTAAGCATATATTTTGTTGCTTCGGCTATTGTCCCTTGTGTCTTTGATCTCCCGTTTTAGTTTCTTTGTTCCATGCAAACTCAAAGTTCAGGTTAAGATGATTTAGTATCTTTTGATTCTGAGATCGAAGCTACTACAAGAAGACGAAGAGGTAGAAGAAGGAGAAATCAAAATACAAGAAACATGGTTGACCTTGGAACAAAATCTCTTTTGGAATATGGTATTCCTGATACAACTACCGGATTCCTCTCTAGTATTGTTAGACCACCCGTCACCGCTCACAGTTTTGAGTTGAAGCCCCAATTTTAACAATTCATCTCCAATGATTCTTTTGCGGACTCACCAAATGATTGCCCTGTGACTCACATAGACAATTTTTTGGAGAAGTGTGACACTATGAAGCTCAATGGTGTCACTGATGATACTATTAGACTACACCTTTTCCCTTTTTCACTGCGGGATAGAGCAAGGGAATGGTTACGATATGAAGGTATTGGTTCCTTTGATACATGGGAAAAGCTTGCTAAGGCCTTTCTAGTTAAATCCTTGGGGCAAGAGAAAACAACAAAATTTACGAACGAGCTATCTACCTTACATCAATCTAATGACGAATCCCTATATGAGGTATGGAGAAGGTTTAAGCGATTGTAGAGACAATGCCCTCATCATGGTATTCCAGAGTGGATGTTGATCCAAACGTTCTATAATGGTTTGATCCATGAGTTTTGCATATACATTGATGCTGCTTCCGGAGGTTCTATCATGACTAAGAACCCAACTGATGCGAAGGATTTAATTGAGAAGATGGCGACAAATGATAATTACCATCCAGGAGGAAGAAATGCTACTAATAGAGGAGATAAACATGATGTTGATGCTCTAACTCTTTTGACAAATTATGTGCAGGCATTAACTCATAAATTCGATCAACTCCAAGCCGGGTCTCCTCGACCCTCGATGGAAACTTTTCAAATGTGTAGAACACAAGGCCATACTGCACGACAATGCCAACTTAATTATGATGGAATGACGATTGAGCAAGAGAATGCTTCTATAACACGACCTCCATAAGGCAATATGATCCTCATTCCAATACATATGATGGAGGGTGGAGTTCTCATACAAGAACACTCAAGCTCCAGTAAACCCACCACCACCACCTGTTTTTCAAGCAAGGGCACCTTTCAATCATTAATCCACGCACCAACCACCACACCAATCTTTAACATATGATCTTGAAACCATTATGGATACTTTTACTACTTCCCAACGTCAACAACAAGAGCTTATATCAAGGCAGTTTGAGTTACAAGTAAAACAAAACCAATACTTTGAAAACTCAATCCAATTGCTCACCGCTCAAAATAAGAGGATTAAAAACTCATCTTTCCCAACTTTCACAACAAGTGAATCATCTGTCAACTCTTTAAGATCAAGAAAAAGTCCAAACGAAACAATGCAATGCAATTTTCTTGCGGAGAGATGAATTGAATACGGGAGGATTAAAAGAGAAAGTACACAACGTGGAGTCGAAAACAGAAATGCCTGAGAATGAAGGTCCCAAATATGTTGCTATACAGGCCTATGAGGAACCAATACCTTTCCCGCAAAGGTTATCAAAAGTTGTGCTCGATAAGCATTTTGGGAAATATTCTGAGACTCTTAAGAAGGTATATGCTACTATTCCTTTATCTGATCTAGTAATTCAAATGCCTCAATTTGAAAATTTGTGAAAGGAATTCTAGATAATAATCATAATGATGAGGAGAATTCTAGATCATTAGAAAGTGTAGTAGTAAAGGAGAAAAGCTCTAATATTTTACATGAGAGCCTACCACCTAAATTGCATTACCCTAGTAGTTTTGCTATTCCTTGCATGATAAACAAAACACATTTTGATAGGGTTTTGTGTGATTTAGGGGATAGCGTTAATTTATTGCCTTCTTCATTGTATGAAAAATTAGGTTTGAAAAAACTTAAGCCCTCTCCCACATCTCTTCAAATGGCTGATAAGAGTGTTAGACTCCCTAAGGGTGTAGTTGAAGATGTATTAGTTGGGATTGGCGAACTTGTTTTTCTTGTTGACTTTGTTGTAGTGGATATGAAAGAAGACCATAAGATCCCACTTATATTTGGCCTCCCTTTTCTTTCTACAAGTCAAGCTTTAATAGATGTTCCTAAAGGACAAGTGACCATTAGAGCTCAGGATAAACAAGTTGTGTTTAAGCTTTTTAATTACCATAATTTTACTTTTGATGGTGGTACTTGTTTGAGAATTGATGCTACTAACCCTTTGTTTGATAAGTGTGTTTCTAATAGAAATCTTGTAAGCAAAAAGGACAATATTCCACCACATGATGGGTTTAGTTACATGAAGGTAAATTCGAATACAAGGCATATCAAATCTAATCTAAAGGAGTCGTTTGGAGGTAGATATATTAATGAGCAATACCACAGAGTATCTTTTCCGTGTGGTGACCCAGGGTGAACTACTAAAGAGGGTCAAGCTAAAGACCTTAAAACAAGCGCTAAATGGGAGGCAACCCATTGTGTTTTTGACTTTTTTTTCCCTTCCTTTTCTTTTTATTTTCTTAATTCTTGTATTTTTTTTTCTTAAGTGACATGGGGATATGATGCGACATTATTTTGAGGGCGGTCCTAGCTCCGACCCTAGGTATGATCCCTCCTCTAGCCAGTAGGGCCTATTTTTCTCTTTCCTTTGCTTATTCTTATTCGATATATGGTCACATTGGGGACAATGTGAAGTTTAGCTTGGGGGAGGAATTACTTTTTGCTTCGTATATAGTAGTTAATTTTCTTTGGGTTGATTTTTAGAGTCTTTATACGACTATGCCTCAATGATATATAATATGTAATATATGTGTGGTTCTAAAAATTGAAAAACTTGTCTTTTGAAAACCCATTCATTGATTGCCTTGGAATTGAACTTGTTTGTGGCTAGAATGGTCTCCTCGCTCGACCAATGTGGATAGCTTGTGTGTTAGGTTTTACAACAATTAAATCAACAAAGAATTACTTAAAATTATGGGAACAAAACCTAAAATAGTGTATAATAATAAAATTATATAACAACCAAATACTTAATCAAAGTATTACAACCAAGCACCAAATAAAAAATGTATTTTTGAAATTACAAAGAAAAAATCACTAATGTAAGAGATTCTAACTTGCCTCAACTCCAATCCTTAATGATGATGAACATGAACATGAGAAAAATTGTGACCTCTTGAGTCTCAAACCTTGATACACTGTCAAAGGCGTGTAAAAACTTTCCTAAAGAGGTTTATTTTCCCCACACGGTGCTTGGGTTAAACCGGAAATCCTCTTTGAGATACAATTAACAGCAAAACTTTGTTCTTAGCACTTAGAGTCGAAGTACAATGAATAATTCACAAATTTGGCTAAATTTCAAGAGTTTTCTCACAATAGTTTGCAAGAAAATTGAGAGAAAATGTGGAGAATCCTTTAGGGAGTGAAAAATGTTCTGTCTATCTTTTCTCATGAAAAAAAATTCTCTTTTATATAAGAGATAACCGTCAGCAAATAACCGCAGAACTGGGAATCAGCTGCGGTGCGACACAAACAGGCGCGGGCGCGCCACATGTCGGCACGGGCGCTCCTCCCATGAAGCCTGCAAAATCAAATTGAAGACAGTGAGGGGAGCGGTTTGAGCGCGACCTTAAGCGCGGGCGCGCTTCCAGGTGGCGCGGGCGCGCCACCAACTGTCATCCAAATGTTGATTTCCAGAGAGGTGCGCAGTTTAGGCGCGCTCTCATCGCGGTCGCGCCTAACTGGCGCGGGCGCGCTTTACATGGGCGCGGCGCGCACCATAAAACACTCTTAATTATCAACATTGTGTACCTATGTGAGACTTTTGAGCCATTGTTGACTAATAATACATCTTATTTTGGCCATTCTCTTTATGTGTGTTAGATTTTCCTTCATGTAATTTGATTCTTGGATTTGCTTTGCGATTATTTTAAGACTTTATGATGCAATGTGGAAGAGTGGTTGAAGTTCCTTTTAGAAAATTAGAGCCAAAACTTCTTAGGTGCTTGATAGATTCTTATTCTATTTTCTTTTTATTTTACATTAACTCTTATAATTAGATAAACCAATTTGAGCCATGATTCCCCTTCTTTAATGCCTTACATTTTATGCCTTAGAGTCTTTTGTAGGTTTATTTGTTGGAGAATCGATGTATTGTTTATGCCCTATTGAGTTGTGTTTGAAAAAAATCGAAAGAAAAATAAAGAAAAGAGGAAAAAGGGCAAAATTAAAAAAATAAGAAAAATAAGTTTGTTTATGCTCTAAGTTTCAAGATGAAAAATATGAGTTGAAAAAAAAAAACAGAAAAAAAAGAAAAAAATGTGAAAGTTTCATGAAAATTCAAGTTCAAAATCCATGAAAGAAGAAAGAAAGACCATTTGTCATAAAATGTAAGTTGTCTTGTGAAGACAAGTGAGAATAAGGGCATGCTTGTATGTTGTGCGGAGGATATAAGGTTGGTTTGAACCCGACATTTGGCTATGTAGTGGGATTATGATTTTTGTTACTTTTGAGCACCACATTCCCAAATGACGTCGTCTAGCCCCATATATAACCAAGCCTACCCTTATTTAGGATCTCATGACTTCCGTATTTGCATCATATTTTTACAAGTGGAGAAAATCTATTAGCAAATCTAAAGAGGATAATTCCATGAAGTCGATGTGCATAATTGCAATTAGGATGTGTGATTTCTTATTCTAACCCTTGTAAACACATGAGTGCCTTGTTTGTTTTAATTTGCACAACTAAAGTGAGATGCTATTCATATATGACTGAGTTGGTTAAGAGAGATGTGTGGAAAGATTGGTTGTCAATTCCGAGTGCTTGAAGTTTATGGTGGTTCTATAATCAATGACTTACATTTCTTGTTTTTCACTTGGTTTTAATTCTTTGGCACATGTATTCTTTCTTGAGGGGCTATCTAACTCTTCTCGTGTTCCATGGTTCAATGCTTGAGGACAAGCATTGGTCTAGCTTGGGGGAGTTTGATAAGTCGTATATTGTACGTGTTTTTAGGGTCTTTTTAGGTAGTTTCGAGTCTAGATTTGTTGTTCATAGCTCATTTTGGCTTAATTTGGTTTGGTTGTGATCATATGATACTTTTATGAGTAGATTTGTTGTTTTTGATGTATTTCAGGATTTAATGAAGCTATTTGAAGGTTTTACAAAGTTGCGGAACTTGATCATAGCTTGCAATTCATTTCGAAGGCCAATGTTTAAAGTTGAAGTCATTTAAAGCTAATCTCCAGCCAGACATGCCCATGTCAGTCAGAGACATGGGCGTGTCATTGTGTTTTGAAGAGGCAGAAAGTTGAACTTGAATTTTTATTTGAGGCATTCCCATGTTTATTTGAGGCACGCCCATGTTGAGTCACGTGCTTCGAGCTAGAAGCTACGTGCTAAGGGAAGCATGGCCGTGTTGAATGCGGGCATGCCCATGCCTCGTCGAGTGAAGTTGGCCCAGCGAGACACGCCCATGTCAGAATTCGACATGCCCATGTCTTGCTGGAAGTTGAAGAAAGATTGATTTTGACTTTGGGCATGGGCATGTCCAGTGTGACACGCCCGTGCATGGTCGATTTTAGGTCGGTTTAGTCCAATTTCTTTCCTTAATTAATCCTATCTTTTAGCCTTATTATAAATACTCTTTAGCATTATAATTTGATGATCAATCATCTTAGAACCCTAGTTTTCTCTCTAGACTTTATTTTCATTGTAATTCAAGATTATGTATTCAAGATTCGTCATTTATCTCTAGTAATTCAAGATTCGGTATTTTCTTATTCTCTTTAATTCCTTTGATTGTTAATTATGAATTTCTTAATTCTTGTTATTGTTTTCATTACTACGTGTGAGTAGTTTCTTTATTCCAAGATCTAGCGGAACCCGAATATGATTAATGTATGATTTAATTCTTTAAATTTTCTAGTGATAATTGCATTTGATATGCTTAATTGATTGTGCTCATGCCAAAACTAGATTAGGGATAATTAGTATTGTTATTAATCTATTGTTTTAATCGCAACGGGAGTTGGGTTTTAACGGGTTTGAATAAATCAATTAAGGGTTTGAAGTTCATCGGGAGAAGTTGAATGGATGATTAGGAGGTTAGAGTAATTTGCTCAAAGTCTTTAATTTACATGATTCCACGAAATTAGACTTGATTGTGATTAAAGAAGCCATTGATAACTAGGGAGAGACCATTGGTATTATTTAGGGATTACTTTTTCTCGTTAATCAATTGAATTATATATTAGGGGTAGAACGACTATTGCCTTAATTGTATTCGTGGTAATGCTTGATCTTGGATGTTTTTAGCATTCGATTTATTATATTATTTAGATTTAATCACTTTAATTAGTCCTTTAGTTATTAATTCTCACTGTTGTTTTGGTTACTTGCTTAGTGATAATTTGAGTCTGTTTAATTAGTTAAACCATAGTTTCTTGGGATTCGATCCTTACTTGCCTATCTACATAGTAGTGGTCTTGTTAGGTTATTTTTGTTAGGTACATGACACGCTTATCAGGTTTCATCAGAAAACTAAAAACAAAAATAGAACAGTAGAAAACTAAAAGAAGTTGTTTGGACTTTTTTTGTTTTCAGCTTTCAAAATAATGATGATTCTACAGTAATAAATTTAGAGGAAGCCCCACTTAATCAATTTAATAAAAAAAATTTATTTATCAAATGACAATATGGTACTCCCTCCGTTTCGTATTAATTGAACACTAGGGTGTTAACAAAGTTTAAGAAAATTATGGGGTAGGGTCTAAAAGAGGATTTTCTATAATATAAAGTATTGTTAGTAGGAGAGAGAAATAATAAAAAAGTAGTGTAAGGCCCTATTCACTTCACCTTATTTTTGCTGAACTGAAATTATTTTTATTGAACTGAAATTGTTTTTGCTGAACTTAAATTATTTTTACTGAACTGAAATTTATTTTACTGAATTGAAATAATTTTTGCTGAACCGAAATTATTTTTACTGATTTTCTATTATATTTTTTCTTTATAGTTACTGAATTTTACTGAACTGGACTTATTTTTACTGAACTGAAATTAATTTTACTGAACTGAAATTATTTTTACTTAATATTATTTTATAAGATGAAGTGAACAGGGCCTAAGTGGGGTTGGTAGGAAAGAGAGATAATAAAATATTTGTGAAATTGGAGTTAGTGGGACAGAGAAATTATAAAATAATGGTGGAACCTTTCCAAATATAAAAGTGTTGCAATTAATATGAAATGGATGAAAAAGAAAAGTGTTGCGATTAGTACGAAACAGAGGGAGTAAATAAAACAACATAAATGTCCAGTCAGCATGACATTTTTGTAAATATATCAACAACAGTGACACCCATATTAAATATAAAGTTTTTGATTTACTTACAAGTTTACCATTTGGTAAACAAACTTTGTTTGTCATATTGATAAACTTGTATTTTCTCATAAATTTGATGGACTTTTTATTCTCTTTATGACATACTCCGTATTATATAGGAAGAGGCCCCCATTTCTCATAATGAGAAATAGCTTATGTTTCTCATGGGGGTATAACCGACATTGCACCTCTTATAAGTCATTTGCTGGATGTGTGATGTGGCCTCATTATTCTGACGTGTTTTACTTGGTTTGCCAGTTGTGTTTATGGAGTTTTCACAGTCGACGCCGTTAGCTTCAACGTTTATGGAGTTCTCCTGAAGACTCGAAATCTGGGCGAAACTGAAGGCACGGAATCCGGGTTTTCAATTCGACTTCTTGGAATCTCAAGTTGAAGAGCTGGGCGAAACTCAACTCAATTCGAAGAGGTCTGAACTCGAACTCTTGGCTTATCTAGGTTCTTTCTGATTCAATTACAATTCGAACTTGGGTTCTTGTTTTTTCTCCATTCGAACTGGCTTGTTGTTTTTCCGAATGTTTTAAAGCTTGGGGTCGATGTTCAGTATGTCGATTGTTTCAATTGACAGAATTATTTCGGCGAGCCAGTTCAGATTTTTTTAGGGTTGCAGATGAACTAAAGCAGTTCGGATTACTTCGACTTTAATTGTTTTAATTTATTATATTATCTGGAATTAAATAGTAGAATTTGGTGAACAATGGAATTATTGCGACCAGGTTAAGGTAATATTAATTGGATGTAGATGCGTTATGCTGCTCTGAAATGTTCATTTGATGGAATGAGGTTAATTATTCATTTATTGGTGCTCATTATTCGTTCTCTATATGTGATATTGTGTTATGGTGTGAAATGGTATCGAGTTTCGATTTGTTATGATTGGTTGTGGGTAGATCAGATTAGATTGAGTATTGTGTGTAATGTAGTTAACACACCGTATTTGATGTATTCATTCTTGACAGGATTACGAAAATGTCAGCGGGGAATGGTAAGCGTAAACGTACAATGGTGAGGGTTTTTGGGTTATATATATATTCTTCAGGCTGGGGATGTGATTATGTTTTGAATTATGGTTTTATGTCTTGTGTACCAAAGGTTGGGGCTGAAGATGAAGAGGGGTATGGGCTCAGTAAGAAGAGTAAGGTATGTGGGCAGAAGACCATGCATTTGTATCCAGAATTGTTTAAGGTACTACAATATGGCATTTTGTGCGTGTGAAATTGGTGTTTTTGCATGATTAAGGTTTATGCATGAATTAAGTTACTGGTGTGCTTAGGATGACAGATTAAGTTATGGAGGGGCTGTCAAAGGTAGAGCGGAGGTGATGGCTGAACATTCAAAGGCCAGAAGTCGGGTAAGTTTGCTTGTTGATTCAATGGTCATTTGGTGTGGGATATTAACTTAATTACTGTAATTTCATTGGCAGCCTCCTAACATGAGTTGCCGCATTGAGTCATTTGGGCGCATATGTCAGAAATTTGATGACAGGAGAAGACGTTGGGTTTGTAAGATGGGATTTGGTATTCTTTTACATCTTGATTTAGATATACATTTACCAAGACAATTGGCATACTGGGTGCTGACACGGATGGATCCAATCAGTAAAATACTTAGAAGTACCAACGGTGTTGAGTTTAGGTTTTCAATGAATTAGGTTCGGTGGGTACTAGGGATACCAATGGGTTCTAGGTCTGTTCCTTGTACTAAAACCATGACCTAACATGATCATGAAAAGGTTTAGAGAATTTTTTTGAAGTATGGTAAATCGTGGGAGTCCAAGAAGTATGTTGGACAATCTGGTCAGGTATACACGTCTGTAGGCATACCATTAAGTTCAAATATGATGAATCGGTTGGAGGGGTACTTTGATGCTGGAGAGGAAGAGGAATTCAAGACGTTGTTCTTGATAATTGCTTTGGAGATGGTGTTGTGTCCCACGCAGTCCCCCCCGGCTTGCGTCTGACCTACTACCTGCAGTAAGTCATGCTATGGAGGCAACTGAGTACGATTGGTGTTCATTAGTGTTGTCGAAGTTGCTGGAGAGCGTACAAAATTTTGCTCGACGTTTCTATGCTAATGGGTTTGCCAGTGGATGCGGAGGGTGTGCAATATTTGCCGTAGTATGTGTTTCAGTGTATTGTTGCTTGTTTTGTTTTTCCTTGTGTGTTTTGTTTTAGTAATTGCTTCTTTTGCTTTTACAATTTGGTAGATATTTTACTTGGATCGGTTGGATAGGGATCTTATTGAGTGGGATGTTTTTCCAAGAATTAAAGTGTGGACTATGCAGCAGATTGGGAAGGCAGCAAAATCAGACAAATTGCTGTCCGGCAACTATGGGAAACTAGGGGTAAGCACTTTTGTATTTGTTTTATTATATTGCATTTGTAAGCACTTTTATACTGTTTTTATTATATTGCATAGTATGCATAGTGTTCTGCTACAATCAAATATGGTTTAGAGTAACCTTATTCCATTTGTATTTCTTTCTGTGGTTCAAGCTATTGGGTGTTGCTTACGGTGAACAACACCCAAGGGATGCAAGGGATGGTGTTGGACCCCTACCCCTACAAGCTGAAGTGAATAATGTGAGGTTTGATCTTAAAGTAGTTGCTTCACCTGTGTACTCTGATCTGAATTTGAAGTAACTTTATTTGGATGCAGATGCATGATTTACCACCAGTGCCTGGGTTTAACTTCAAGGCTAGGCAAAGGAGGGGCCGAATGCCTGAGCTAACAGATAAATGAGCCCAGTTATTTGTATTTCATTTCAGGTTAAGGATTTAGATATTCTTATTTTCAGTTTCGTTGAATACTATTCGGATTATATTATTTTCAATTGACGAAATATTATTCGGAATAATATTCCAATTGTTGTATTAATAAAATAAAAAAAATAAAATAAAAATTGTTGTATAGCAAGGTCCCCTCCTTTCCCCATTAATACTAGGTGGGTTATATGGCAAGGGCTTAGTTCAAAACTTAGATTTAGTTCCACTTTTGCAAAGAATGTAATATTGCGAGTTAAAGTAAAGTAAAATAAGTATGAATTAAATGAGACTCGTCATCAACCCGTAGGATTTCCATCCAATTCAACTTTTTCGTACAGTAGTTGTTAGTCTTCAAAACTAACGTTTAAACTTTAAGATCAACATTTAACTTCACAAATATATTCAAACATAGGGGGTTCAATTCACCAATTCACAACCAATTCACCAATTCGTGCAGCCCAAGGTCTTGAAGGGGGGTTCAATATGAATCTCAAGGGGTCCAATATGAATCTCAAGGTCTTGAATCCAGTTTCAAAGGCGGAATTCAAGGCTTTGAGATTCAGTTCAAAACTTAAAAAAACAAACTTTGAAAATAAATTAGATTATAACTTTCAACCCGTGTACAATAATAATCCAATTGTAGGAGAGGAGAGACGCTCAACTTCCTCATCTTCAAGAGGGATGTGGAAGTATTGAAAAATATAAGAAAGAAGATTCAAAGGTTGATTGAGAGTAATGAAGGGTAAATCAAGATCATACCCATTCAAAAGCAAAACATAATTTTCAATGCCTCATCAGTCAAAAGTTCTCGAATTCATACGAGGGATAATGGAATGCACCACATAAGTAAAAATGATTTTAGGTTCCAATTTTAGAGAAGATCACATAAGTAAAAATGGAACGCACCAAATGAGTTGATTGAGTTAATAGCATCCAACACACATTTTTTGTAAATAGATACTAAACATTATGTCAAGAGATCATTAATAGACCACGAGTTAATAGCATCCAACACACATTAATAGCCTCCACACACAGGCACAAAACAGATCCTAGTTATGTTATCAGTTAACACAGTAATATGGAAAACTCCATGACCAACATAACGCACACTCAGAATATCACCATGCTCAACATCATTGTCAGCCACAAAGTTCTCCCAACCAGAATACATGAATAGACCACGAGTGTCACTAATATTAGCACCGAGCAATTCCACATTCCATGCTGGCCCTCCGGGACCACGTTGAGCACGAACAGGAGCCGAAAAAGCAGAAGCAAAAGACTTCCAATGATTAGGAAGAGGCTACGCACAAGGAAAACAACACAAGGTCAAATCACACACATATTAATACACTAATACAAAGACAAACACACATACACAAATACGCAAGTTAAAAACAATACCAGAGCAAATCTATGGTGATTCTTATATTGAATTATGCATTCCATGTCATGATCAACACCGCCAACCTCATTATGTTCTACAGGACCTCCTCCAACACCACCATTATCCCTCTGTTCTACATGACCTCCTTGAACACCAACGTTCCTAGCCACATTTTCACCCCTGTCCTGTTGAATAATCCTGTCAACAGGTTCCACATTTTCAACAGTCGACCCATCTCCTCCATAACCTTCCAAACCCCTTCTACGGATTTCATCAACTTGCCCATAAAGCTCTGCAATGCGCTGGTCTCGAAGCCGCTGCAACTGGGCCGACAAAACCCTCGCTTTAGCTTAGCCGTATGTGCTGCTCTAATTTTAGCCAATTATTCTATGTTAACCTTCCCCTGCGCACGAATTTCAGCCAATTCTTCTATGTTAACCTTCCCCTGCGCACGAATTTCAGCCAATTCTTCTCCCTTAACCTTCTCCTGCGCACTTATTTCAGCCAATTCAACGTACAACACTTCAAGTTGCGCTTTCAACTCTCGCACTTCCCTGTTAGCCATGGTTTCGCTTCTCGTAGGAGAAGAGGAAAAGATTTCAAATAAGTTGGAGAAACCAACAAAATTTCAAAGAAAATGGAGAACTGAAAAGAAAACTAAAAGGGTTTAAAAAGCAAACACAATAAACGAAGCAATGTCAGAAAGAGAAATGGAAAAGGCACATTTTTGAAAAGCCACAATTTTGAAAAGCCACAATTTTGAATAACCACAATTTTAATGCATCCTAACTGCCGCCAATTATCTCAGTATTCAGTGCATAGAAAACAACCAAAGCGTTGTGATTAATATGTAACCGAATTGATGAATCTTGATTACTTAAACTCATAGTTTCATCAATTTAATTAGAAAACTCAGTCATTGACTGATTTGTAGAACGCATGGAAAAAGGAATTTGGTTATGGACCAATAAAATATGTGCAAATTATAACTGTGTGCTTGTGTTGGTTAAATATTCATGGAATTTTGTACACTCCGTATGAAACGTTACTTTTACTTGATATTGCACGGTTTTTATAAAACTGTCAAAAACATATGCGGTAGAAACTTTTAAAAAATCTAATTCATGTTATGGTTATTAACCGAGGGGGTTAGGTTAATAAAGTCATATGTTTAAGTCATACACATTATGCAGCAGAATCGATCGTTAAACTATTACATCCTGATGTCCAAAGAATAACTTATATGCAAAATGCATTCTCTGAACATAGTCCAACCAATGTACCATACTACTATGTTTTTAAAACAGACAACTACAGACAGATAATACAACCAGAGAAGAGCCAAGTGGGATGAGGGAGAGCATTCAGATCTCCTTATGTAAGTTCTTCCGGTGTTTCTTTCCCACTAAATGCGTCTTAAGACCATTGTCGTTTGTGCAACTGATTTACAAAGATCATACCACGGTTCTCCGACTGTTCTTTTCTTTGGAAGGTTGTGTTGTGCACTGGTTTCCCCGGTACGCACTTCAAGTTGCGTTTCAGCAGCTGTGTGGGGCAGTGAAGCAACAGTTGAGACAATATTAATGGAGTTCTGCTAGAGCTTTCGTAAGCTCTTCTGGTGTTTCTTCCCACCAAGTGCTTATTAAGACAATCAGTGCTCGTACAGGTGATTTTACAAACATCACACCACGGTCCTTCGATTTTTGTTATCTCTGGAAGGTTGTGCTGTACAATCCGATTATCAGCATTTACCAAAAATTGGTGAAAATAAATCAGAAAGAAACAAAAGACAGAACTTCGAATTTCACAAATAGTAATGTGCAAATATTGGATCAGATGAATATCACATAATCTAAACAAAAAATAAGATTATAATCGAATTATAAAAAATAAGAATCTGCATAAACTACAGTATCACTATTAATAATAACAACAGAAGGAAATGTTGAAAATATTACAGTACAATTGAGTACACGGAGAAAGAGGTCAAGTCATTTTTTTAAAGGTATGCAACATAGTGACATACCCATAGTTCACATGTTCATGCTTTACTCATAGTTCACAGTGACATACCCATAGTTCACAGTGACATACCCATAGTTGAGTACACATGTTCATGCTTTACTCCATCAAGGACACGTAACACTCAATCATAAACCATAAACTCAAACAAACTTTCAACACTATCCATTTTTCAGTCAAAACGAAAACATACCACAGAATAAGTAACAGGGGCTGGTTGTCTGACAACCCAATTTGCTGAAGCAGCACCCGGGTCCGAATAAACTGGTTGTGCTCCATAACCCGGACTATTTGATGGATATTGCCCAGGAGCAAAACCCGG